ATATATATATATATATATATATATATATATATATATATATATATATATATATATATATATATATATATATATATATATATATATATATATATATATATATATATATATATATATATATATATATATATATATATATATATATATATATATATATATATATATATATATATATATATATATATATATATATATATATATATATATATATATATATATATATATATATATATATATATATATATATATATATATATATATATATATATATATATATATATATATATATATATATATATATATATATATATATATATATATATATATATATATATATATATATATATATATATATATATATATATATATATATATATATATATATATATATATATATATATATATATATATATATATATATATATATATATATATATATATATATATATATATATATATATATATATATATATATATATATATATATATATATATATATATATATATATATATATATATATATATATATATATATATATATATATATATATATATATATATATATATATTTAGGGCTGTCAAAATTAATGCGTTAACGCATGTGATTATTGTAAAATATTTAACGCGTTAAAAAAAAATAACGCAAATAACGCAGTTGCAGGTTTTTTTTATTTCCTGTTGTGGCCGACGTGTGTTTAGGCGCCTTGGGCAGCAGAATAGAGAGCGTACCCCCCAGTCTTCACTTTCATCAGCTACACCGACTCTCTCCCTCATGAATCTCGCACATCAGCAAACTGGTCACTTTCTTTTTCACTTTTGGGTTGAGGGCGTCGTGATTGTCGTTTGCCTAGAGCGCCAGGTTCACCTTGCTCTGGCCCTGCGTGTGTTTAACATGCAAAGAAATTTGAATAAAACCAAAGACGCGCTTTTAGAAGGAAAGTTTCAGTATAAAACAATTAATGTCGCATCATCCTGCGTTTCCTTCAGAGTTTCATGCAGTTTCAGGTGTTTAAATTTTTAATTTTTAAACTTTAACTGCAGTTTAGCAGTTCACTTTCATTCTGCAGATTTTCATTCAGGATGTTTTAATGGAATTTGATACCGCATGACGAATGGAAAGAAAAACCTCCGCATTTCGGGACTTGCGTGATCCTTTAAGGCAGGGGTGTCCAAACTTTCTGGGCCGAGGGCCAGATGCAAAAAAAAAAAACGTTGTCGCGGGCCAAATTTTACATACATCACACAGACACGCATATATATGTATGTATGTATTTATGTAACGGAGAGAAGATTTTTTTCCACACATTTCTAAACATAATAGGTTTAATAACTCATTTCTAATAACTGATTTATTTTATCTTTGTCATGATGACAGTATATAATATTTGACTAGATATTTTTTAAGACACTTCTATACAGCTTAAAGTGACATTTAAAGGCTTAACTAGGTTAATCAAGTTAACTAGTCAAGTTAATAGGGTAGTTAGGCAAGTTATTTTATAACAATGGTTTGTTCTGAAGACTTAAGGGGCTAATAATTTTGACCTTAAAATGGTTCATAAAAAATAAAAACTGCTTTTATTCTAGCCAAAATAAAATAAATAAGTCTTTCTCCAGAAGAAAAAATATTATCAGACATACTGTGAAAATGTCCTTGCTAAACATAATTTGGGAAATATTTAAAAAAGAAGAAATAAATCAAAGAGGGGCTAATAATTCAGACTTCAACTGTGTATAGATAGATAGATAGATAGATAGATAGATAGATAGATAGATAGATAGATAGATAGATAGATAGATAGATAGATAGATAGATAGATAGATAGATAGATAGATAGATAGATAGATCATAACAAGAACTGCTGCTTAATTGAATGCATGTAATAGCGACACCCGGTGGTTATTTATTGAATTACGTTCATTTTTGTTTAGCGGGCCAGATTCTATTGATATTTATAAAAAGCCTCGCGGGCCGCCACAAAACTGATTGCGGGCCGCAGATGGCCCACGGGCCGTAGTTTGGACACCCCTGCTTTAAGGTATTAAAAAAAGCGCTGCTTACATGGTAGACTCTTAATCAGTATTATCTTAATCATAAAAGCGGAGTGTTGGTGTCCAGATGGATAAAAAGTCAGACAGACCTGCAGAAGCCCTGTTATATAGTAAGGTGGAGTTATAGTTATGTCTTCATGTTTATCCCTTTATATTTTGTGTATTAGGGTTTGCCCGGTAATCAGGGGATGCAAGGGATGCCAGGAAACAGAGGACCACCAGGAGAGGGAAGCCCTGGATCTCAGGTAAACACACACTCACTATTTAATCAAAACAGTCATTTTCTCATTATCAGTTAGTGAAACAAATGACTTACCTAAAAGGTCACATGGAAAAAAAAACATGACTAAAAACTGACTGTTGTTAATATGAAAAAGGGATTGAAACCAATGATTCTAACAGATGACATATGCACATGCAAACATGCATATTTACTAACACATGCATAAAAACTTGTTGTTAAAAGTATGCTGCATATACGTACTATGGGGAAGCTTTTCCAACTTTTCTGACCCTATTCAATATCTCTTACTGTGTGGATCTGAAGTGAGACACATTTCACTATGCTTATAGTTGATTGATATTCTACATCTCACTTTAGGGGCCTCCAGGACCTGCGGGACCACCGGGTGCAGCGGTAAAGGATCTGTGCATGTGTATCTTAGTTTAAAATGAGACATGTTCAAAGAAAAGCCCTAAAGTGACATGTCATGTTTGATATTTAGGGTTTGAGAGGACCCCCAGGAGTGGCTGGAGTACAGGGACCTGCTGGACATAATGTAGGATTCATTTTGATTTGATTAATTATTTGTGGCAGTTCAAAGGCATTGTAGAAACTAAACTAAACTGAAACTGTGGTCAGTGGAAAACTTGACAAATTGATTTAATAGAATGTTTTCAATCAGAAGTATGAAGGAACAGCAAGCAACAACATGACCTTTACATTTCTCTAACAGATATTCAATTCTAAGTATATGTTTTAATTTAAAGGTGCGGTGTGTAAGTTTGACACCCAGTGGTTAAACTAAGTATTACATTCCTGGATCAAAACAAACTCAAGAGCAGGTTGCCAGATTGACGGAGCGAGTCTGACGATCGAGCCTAAGAGCTGATTTAAGTCGTGTTCTAAATTAAAGCACTAGCATATTCAATGGAGTTTTTGTCCTAATCAACCCCTTGAATTGATATATTGGAAACGGCTTCTATTTCTTGCAGCTGAACTGACAATGATCACCTCAGGTGTACCTCATGTGCTTTATTCAGTGTTAAGTGCTAATACTGTGAGTTTGAATGCCATTTTACATGAGATTTATTGCCATACTACTGAAAGCAGCAGCAGATAGTTCACCTCAGATCTTGAAAATAAAACATTTGAAATTGAACTTTAGAACTGAGAACTAATGCAAACCATGATTCGGCATGTACGCTTAATAATGTTAAAGAAGTTTAATATGCATTAATAAGATCTTAAACCTTACCATTTCGTAAGTTAGTGTATATTCTGTGCTTCTGAATGGCTGTATTTGCATTTCTGTCGTGTTTTTGTCTGGTGCAAGCAGCCAAACTGCTTATCACCGAAAATCTCGTCATGTAGCATGTTGTTAGGACAAGCGGTTACAATCTAACCTGCTCACTTAATGTTTACACTCTTATTATTTATTTGCTAATTAATAACCTCATGTGGAACTCTGAATCTGCGTCAGATTTGGCAGTCTGCTACTGTCCACTTCGATTTTCGATGCATGCTTTGAGAGCCTTTCTGAATGACTGAATGAATGAAATACGTGGTTTTCTACCAAGGCATCCCGGGATGTTGAACTATAATTGGCTAAACTGGCATTGAGTGGGTTAAAAGAACCGAAACAAAGACAGTGGCTGTTTCTCAATTCCAAGAATGCAGAGAACGGACTTGCGTTCTTCTGGAGACCGGTCTTGCCAGGTGTCCTCGGAAGAACGAACTCAGGAGACCGCGAGGACAGAGAACGCGTCCTGTGAGAAATGAGATGCTGCGTTCTTCCTGATGGTCACGTGACCTTCTCGCATTTTAAATAGTAAATTATTGAAACGTTACAGCATTTATACAACGATTTATGGTTTTTCAACTTTTCAAAATATATGCTCTGCATAAAAACATTATAAATATACTCTGCACAATATAAATAAAACAGATTTTAAAACGAATTTCAGCAAACAAACACCCTTAATGTGTTTATTCCTTTATTAAGATGTCCATGGTAATGTTTAGTTTCATTTAGGGAAACTCCTGAGGTTAATATGTTATATCTCTAAACTTTAATAATACATCTAAATAAAATGCTGCGCTTCCCACCTCCAGTCGCAATGACTTCTGGGACTTCCAGAGCGAGTTCGGTGCTCAAGTCTGCTTCAATGCGTCCTCGATATCAAGAACACATCCGGGAAGTTTCACGCGTCCTCTGTACTTGCGGTCTTGAGTATTGGAACTGAACTTAGGCAGCTGATGATGATGTTACACGAGAACACGAAGACGCAAGACCGCTGAAGAACGCATATTGGGAAACAGACAGTGTTCCGGCATTCAAAACACATTTTCAAAGCAGAATATCTGACTTCAGCATTGTTTTTCAGATAAACAAGAATGTTTCCTAAATATCTGCACACATATTATGGTGTTTTTATGCTTTAGAAAAGTCAAAAACGTGCACGCAGCACCTTAAAATTAACATGGTCTTGTATTATGCAACATAAAGGGGAAAAAATAAACATCACCACCCAGCACACTATCACGCAGGCAAAATCTACTGCAGACCTTCTTTATTTTTAGTAATTTTTAGCAGAAATTTCCCAGAAATAGAAATAAATGTATTAAATAATAATAATAACTGCTATTTAATGTTTAGAATGCAGATCTAATTATTCCACTTGTTTGGTAAACAAAGCTACAATAAGTCCCTCGTATATCATATCTACTAAAAGAAAATACAATCTTACAAACTGTATTGTACGTTAATCATCAAAAGATCCTAATTATCCAATAATATGACTAAATGTATTTAATAAATGAGTAAATGTGTACAGAATATTTACACACATTTACAAAAGTGATCAAAAAAATAAATAGATTAAATGATGGGCTCAAAAAGGTTTCTGCAGATGCAGATTCATCATATTCTGCACCTGTACGATGACAATGTGTTGAGTTTCACTGCACTGCTGTGGATCACAGTTGAGTAGTCTTGGGAATACGGTGTCATTTAGTGTCTAACAAGGTTTAAATGTGAGGTTCAGCAGCCATCAGGATTCATGTGTGTGAGTTTGTGTCTACTTTTAGGGTATACCTGGAAGACCAGGAGAGAAGGGCTCCCCTGGAGAACCAGTGAGTGATACCTGTGTCAATAAAAAAAAAACTAATTCATCAATTAGGTTGACACTATTAATCAGTCCCTCCAGAATGTTGCAGGTAGTTCTTGAGATTTAAAGAAGTACAATATTTTTTGTGGGTTTTGATAGCAGATGATTCCATAAGTTTGAGTAAAGGGCATTTTAGGCTGCAGATATTTCTTCCAAATCCTGTAGGGACTGATTAATATTCACCTGCTGATGATGGATCATGCAGCGTATGCTTGGATTATGAATCTCATATAAGGTTTTTAACTGAATTTTGTTTTCCAGGGAAAAGCTGCAGACCTTTCTGATCTAAACCTGAAGGTATCAGCACGCGTCCATCAAGCCCTGCAAATATCATTAATTTATTCATCATTCATTCATCAATTCATCTGTCCATTCTTCCTATCATTGAACACAAGCCAGCTCTTTAACTCAGTGTGACGTAAACATTCAACATCGATCCATGGGCTCTATTTTGACGGTCCATGCGCAGGGCGCAAAACGCAGGGCGCAAACGCTTTCAGGGCGTGTCGGAACGCATTTTTGCTAATTTAAGGATGGGAAAATCTGCTTTGCGCCATGGCGCATGGTCTAAAAGGGTTGAGTTTATTTTCTTAATGAGTTATAGGTGTGTTTTGAGAATAAACCAATTAGAGTCTCATCTCCCATTCCCTTTAAGAGCCAGCTGCGTCGCGCCAAGAGCGCATTCGCTATTTACAGGATGCAAAGTAAGTCTAAGTGGAAAAAATGAGCATTTCACAAGCAAACAGTTAACAGTTGACAGTTTTTTAACAGAAAACTGTTAAACAGAGCATCTACTGCGTGAGAATGAGAGATAATGGATCTACTTTCACATTCGCTCTTGGATAGGGAAACCTTTACGCACAGACATCAATTAGCCTATAAATAATTAATTTCGTTTGTTAAGCGCAAATATTCGTTTCAAAACTATTTCTAAATTCAGTTCTAATTTCCAGCAAACGAATAATTGAACAAGAATGACCAAGTGTGGTCAAAATACTGAGCTATTTCCAAATACACCTGCCATGCCCCATATGGTCTAAAACCTGACAGGTGGGCAAATCTAAGCTTGTTTTTAATAAAACAAATATAAATATGGATATAATAAATAATTCTGCTAATAATAATAACATTATACAAAAGCAAATTGTTATGAATGAACTGAAAAAGCCTCCCGAGATGAAGAAGACATAAAAGCAGTGATTTTTCATATTTATGTAGGCTAGAAAATAATATGTTTTGTAATATTTTAATCCTTTATATTTATATTCTATATCTATTCTTATTATATCCTAAATATATCCTTAATATTAAAATTTTTTCATATGTAAAGATATTTGCCTATTGCTCTCTTGTGCGTATTAAGCAGTTTGTAAGCGAGGCGCAACTCTGCGCCGGAGTTTAGACCGGGTTTGTTTTGGTCTAATAAAAAATCTATTGTAGTTTCTCAAAATAGCAACGCGCCAGCGGTCCGCCTTCCTTTTTAGAGCAGAACGCCTATGGGCGCACAAATGAGCGCAAATGCATTTGCTATTTAAACAGCGTAGCGCAACGCCTCAAAACGACTCTTGCGCCAAGCTGAAACTACCAAAAGACTATTGCGCCGCGCCTTGCGCCACTTTGCACCGGATGTATGATAGGGCCCCATATGTGTCTATTCCCCAACTCCATTCATCCATTCATTGATCCATTCATTCATCCAATTATTCTTCTTACCATGCATCCACCCATCTCTCCATCCATCCCACTAATGTAACATAACTATTTAGGATATAATACAGTTTAAAATGTAATAAATAGATAGACTACTTAGGTGTATTGAAACACATTAAAGGAAAATACATCTGAATCTGAAGGTTCTTTTGTAAGCTTGAAAGTAAAGAAAGTACTTGTAAAACTTGCAGCTAACTTTCTGCTTGATTTGATTGGACAGCTCCATTAAATCATTATTACAGCATTAAAGTTCATATGCCGTTTGCCTTTATTGATCTAATATTTGACATTTAAATTTGTAACCAGAAATAGTGCTGTTTAATTTAGCTATTTCTTGTTTTTCCATTCTTGGTAATTCTTGGCTTTGCCTTTTCTCTTTCTCAGGGTGTGTGTTCAGATTGTCCTGCTGGGCCGCCTGGACAACCAGGTATTCCAGGACCTCCGGGTGACAAAGGTCATTCTGGACCACCAGGGAAGAACGGACAGGATGGATATGCGGTGAGCATCTTCTTCTTCATTGTTTAATCCTGATTTTAAAATGTGAGTGGAGTGAAAACAAGTGTCATTTATTCATCTTACAACCTGTTAAATATGCAAATTAGAAAATATTTGAATTTTGGTTAAATTGATGACACTTGCAGGGTGCTCCCGGACCAACAGGACCTGCAGGACCGCCTGGTAGTGATGGAGCCAAGGTTAGAATCTAAATTAGACTGTATTTACACACATAAAACAAAAGTCCATGTTTAATATTGAATAATTTGGGTTCTGTTAAAGGGAGTCAAAGGTGACAGAGGCCCTGCAGGCACACCTGGAGATAAGGGTGAAAAGGTACTCACAACAACCTACCTTTTTCAGAACATATTTAAGTTTGTTTTGTAAGCCTTTTTGACATACTGTTGATTTGTATTTATCCAGGGTGCCCCAGGACCTCCTGGTTATCCAGGAGCCGCAGGAGCCATGGGTCAACCTGTGAGCATTTTAAAACTTAAAAACCTTCATAAAGGAAACACTTTCAGTTAGATGGATTAAAAAAACACTTTACTGACATTATTGTCTTGATTTAAAGGGTAATGATGGAAACCCTGGACCTGTAGGAACCCCTGGACCTCCTGGAGAAAAGGCATGTTTACTATGTAGTCTTCTGTAATTTGAATATGTATTATTTTGGATGGTTTACAATAGCTGATCGCCATGCCTATGTGCTTTACTAGGGTAAAGAAGGAATGACTGGAATTCAGGGACCTCCAGGTCTGCCAGGTCTAATGGTACGTTATGTCTTTTTTTAAATATGTGCACATTTTTAGAATGCATAGACTACTATTCAAAATAACTCTCTGTTATGCTTACTTGATGAATATATTAAGCACAGGAATGTAAATAGCTTTATGCTAATATTCATTCAATCATTCATTCATTTTCTTGTCGGCTTAGTCCCTTTATTAATCCGGGGTCGCCACAGCGGTATGAACCGCCAACTTATCCAGCAAGTTTTTACGCAGCGGATGCCCTTCCAGCCGCAACCCATCTCTGGGAAACATCCACACACACGTTCATACACTACGGACAATTTATGCCTAGTTCAGACTGTGTAATTTTACCCCCGATTTTGGCTCGCCGACAGGTTTTGAGAAATCGCCGACAAATGTCTGAAATCACAGGCAAATTGCTGCTCGTGCACGTGAGTGACAATCACACAGTATGAACGATCAAAGATGCGATCTGAGAGAATCGCCGATGAGTCGCTGATGCCTGTGAGATATTTGGCATGCTAAATATCTGGAGCTGTCGGCGATTCAAATCATGCCGTGTGAATTGAGTTTTGACTGAAAATAACATCAGCCATCGCCTACAGCCAATGAGAGAGCGCCATTCGCTTGTGTGTGTGTGTGTGTGTGTGTGTATACATGCTGCAGTTCAGCGGGAGGCTGGGGAAGAAGTTAAAAGCGCTCTTTTTTGGTTTATTTGGACCCACGAAATGGAGGGAAAACTAGTGGAGGTTTGACAGGACTCAGGAGCACCCGTGTCTGTTTGACGTTTCATACAGAAAGAAATTAGTTTATTAACAACGTTGAGGAGAAATGGCTAATTCCCTTTAAACCCAGGTGAGCAAACATGTACATGTTCTACCCCATTAAAGGCTTTTTTCATTATGTAGTTAATAACAAAAGATATACTACTGGTTTTTGGCTGTGAGATGTAGTTTGGACGAAGTTGTCGGCGATTCTTCCTATAGTAAAGTCATGCAATGTGAAAGTCCCTGTCGCCGATCCATCTTGCAGTGTAAACAAAGCAGCGACGAAACGCTAGCCCAGATAGTCATGCAGTGTGAAAACATCTGTGACACGACTACTTTCAAAATCATGCAGTCTGAACTCGGCATTAGTCTACCCAATTTACCTGTACCGCATGTCTTTGCACTATGGGGGAAACCGGAGCACCCGGATGAAACCCACGCAAACGCAGGGAGAACATGCAAACTCCACACAGAAACGCCAACTGAGTCGAGGCTCGACCCAGCGACCTTCTTGCTGTGAGGTGACAGCACTACCTACTGCGCCACTGCTTTGCCATTTTATGCTAATATAATAAAAATAAAATATATATTTTGTTTCTGTAATGCAACAATGTTTTTATCAGCCATTACTGCAGTCTTCAGTGCCACATATTCCTTCAGAAATCATTTTAACTTGCTGATTTGGAAACATTTTGTATTAGTGTTAAAAACACTTGTGTATTGTGTGATACATATGAACTAGATTATTTGATAAGTAGATTTAAAACATGTGCTTGAAATACAATAAAAAGAACATGTAATATTATCTTTCCTGTCTGTTTTAATCTATTTAATGCCAATTTTAGTTGTTCCTTGATACTACTTTTTGTTTCATGTAGGGTATGATGGGTAAACCTGGAAAGGATGGAAGACCAGGAGAATCAGGAGAGCCTGTATGAGTCTGATATTCTGTCCAACAATACTTATTTCTTTACAGTATGCACAGAAATAACAACATTAACATAAAAAAATTAAAAAATTTCTTATTTTTTCCTGCTTACAGGGTAAACAGGGAGAACCAGGACAGCCAGGAAGAGACGGACTCAGAGGAATGCCTGTGAGTGAATAAAAACACTGCATCCTGTAAGACCTGACATTATGATCCATTTGTACATTTTACACTAGGTGGGAATGAGAATGTGTCTCCTTCTGATTATCAATAGTCAAAACGCATATCTTAATACCCGTCGTGAACAAGACCTTTATTACGTATGATTTTCTGTGCAAAGTTGGACTATCAGAACTCTTTTACTTCACTAACAAATACACTGGTGTTATGATTCCTGTGCATTTAAACAAAAGACTGAACAAGTACATCTTTTTCCTAGGGCTTCAAAGGTCACAGAGGAGAGCCCGGACCACCAGGGTCAAAGGTTAGTGAGTGATTAATAATGTTCATACCCATTCAGTTGAAAAACCACAGAATTTAAACAGTAGGGCTGCACAATATATCGTTTCAGCATCAAGATCGTAATATACACATATCCACAACAGATACATCGTAGCATTTGCAATGTCCAGTCGTTATTATAGTTGATCAGGAACAATAGTTGGTCATTGCAAAGTATATGTGATTATTATTAATCCTTTCTAGAGAGCTTATAACATTTTAGCTTTAGACTGCATGGATTATTTATATTTATTTATGCAATGAAGACTGTCTAATTCAGTCTGAATATTATTCAAGTTTAGATTCTCTGGCTTGACCCGACCCGACCCAACCAGCCGATATTTCCTGGCACTATTTTCGGGCCGGGCCATGATCAAGCATTTGTTTGTGTGTGTGTGTGTGTGTGTTTTTTTTTTGTTTGTTTGTTTAGTCATTGCTTAATTAGCCTAATTGGGTGGACAGCTAATTAATAATTAGATAATATAATTAGAAATATTATACAAATATTTTAGCAAAGTCGGCATAAGCAGGGCCAGACGGAATCTGAGGACGTTTTTTGCTCTTTCTGCGGAGAATTTTGGTAAAAATCTGCAGATTTCTGCGGCATTATTTTGGGAGTTTGTAGCGGAGTATCATAACTAAAACCTTAATATATTAAATAAAAAAGTAATTTATTACTGAATAAAAACATATTTACACATTTACTCAAGTAAATAAACAGAATTAATAATGGGCTAAAAATCTGCGGAATTCTGCGGAAAATCTGTGGAAAATCTGCGGTATTCTGCGCGCGCAGATTCCCTGTGGGCGTAGGCATAAGCAACAAGAGTGAGTCTACAAAGTTGCACAATTCACAACAGTAGCTATCTTTCCATCCAAAAATGCGAATAAACTTTTTGCGCAAAACTGGATTATCGCATAAAAGTTTTTGCTTATGAAGCATCGTTTCCATCCAACGAGTCAAAGCGAACAAAATCGTCACTTCCTGATTAACTGGCGCCAAATATCAACAGTAAAAACTGCATTTGCTGCAGTAGGAGAAGCTGCATCAATCTTTTCTAAATGAATGCGCCTCAGAAGACAATCCTGACAAGCAGTGAGCGCGCAGAGGCGTTTGAAGGTGTCAGACGCGGAGCACAGGCGCTCTTGATTCTGGAGGTCATTAATAATATAATAACATTAATACTGAAATGGTAAGGCGTTTTATAATGACCAAAACAACATTTTAGATGTTTTATAATGTGCTCAGCCTGACGTTTTATCCATTCACACACATTTTAAGCATCACATGATCTCTTTTAACAAAATCACATGACCTTTTTTTAATGCACATGCTGGAGTTTGTGCGGTAAAAGTGTTTCCATCGCAGTTTATGCGCATCTTTTCTTATCGAATAAAAAGTTTACCTACCCAGTTAGGCGCATAAGTTTTTTATGCACATTTTCAAAATTTATGCGCATCATGGCGTTTCCATCAACTGGTTTTTTCATGAGCATTTGCAAAATGCGCATAAAATAGGTGGTTGGAAACATAGCTAGTGTCATGTGCAGCAACGCTCTAGCTCCTGCAATAGCATCTAGCCCACTTGCACACATTCACACCACACGCGCAAGCAGAGGTAAAGCAGCATGTGCGCAGCGCGTATGTAGTGCAGAAACAGTGCAGGATCTTATCGATGCATTTATTGGATAAAATTGCTACTTTTTACTGTCATTCAATGTGTTTTTGGTCATTATCAATGAACTGTCACTTTAATTGATCGCAGCACTGCTGCTTCAGCTCTGCTCACACTCCAGTATGCAGTATGAAAGCTCTAATATTTTTTTGTTAACATGGACACTTAAAAAAAAAACATGCACTGCTCATGCTCTGCTCGCACTTGCGGTGTGAAAGAGGCATAAAAACCGGGACTTCCAGGATGAACTGACACATGTCAAGAAGCAGGCTTACCATGGCAGAAAAAAAGGATGATAGTCAGTCATCAATGTCAATTTGGTACGATTCATTCTGAATAAACAAACAATGCAGTTTAAATGCTTCGTCCTTGTTGCATTTTTATTTAAGTCTAATCTAAACTAATTCCTGTAGTTCAAGCAATTCAGAACTGTAGTTGAGAACGTCTGTTATAGCGACTCCTGTATTAAAATATTGTCAGTTTTAAATCGGGCTCATAGTTACAGCTAATGTGTCGGACTGAGTCGGGCTCGGAGGCAAGGTGCACAGGCTCGGGTTTAATTTTTTATGCCTGATCTAAGCTCTAAATCAGGGGTCTCGAACTCAATTTACCTGGGGGCCGCAGGAGGCAAAGTTTGGGTGAGGCTGGGATTTCACAAAAAAAAGTCCTCAAATGTCATTATTAACAGTTTTAATTATTTCTTCTGAACATGAAGTGTCCTGAACATTAATAGAACATTGAGTGAGGATTATGAACAGTTCTTCTGAACATGGCATCTTTTGCCTACTTCTTGCTGCCAGAGACTTGACAGCGCTTCTTCTCACAAATCTGAACCACATTTGGCTTTAGAGCGGACGCAGTTGAGACCCTCAGTATGGCTTGAAGATGATCATCATTAAGTCTAGACCTGTACTTTGACTTATTGAAGTCCTAGGGAAAAAAGTGGGGGAACTCATTCAAAACTTCCATTCCCTCACCTAAAAAAAAGGCGTATATATGTATAAATAAAACACCCCCACCCCACTCCAGTCACATCAGTCTGTACCAGTCTGTATCTACCTATAATATCAATATATATAAGATGCAGGGCAGGCACGTGCACACATAGGGCTCAACCTGTACAGAGCACATGCCCTTTTTAGTCTTGCATAGAAAGTGCCCTTCCAAAATGATCAAAAGTGCCCCCGCGACGCGACACACCCTCGGTCCCGCCCTTCAGTAGGCGCGCGATAACACCGCTCTTGAGTACGCGCGCGACAACACAGCTGATCAGAACGCGCGCGACAACGCGCATTGAGTGACAAGCGCGCTGTGTACGGATAGAATCAGCGGAGCGGGGAGCGCTCTCTCTCCCCGCTCCGCTGATTCTGTCAGTGTACAGCGGTCGGCGCGGGCTACAAAATATTGCACTGAGGGCCGCAAATGGCCCGCGGGCCGCGAGTTTGAGACCCCTGCTCTAAATACTATACAAGTAATTTAACTATGCAGAATTATCCTAATTATCCTAAAATTATGAATGATTAGAAGTAAAAAAGTATTCAAGTCATCTGGTGAAATTGTATTTATCGCAAAATATCTTGCAGAAAAACTAAATATTGTAATAAAACTTTTTTCAATAACGTGCAGGCCTACTAAACAGTACGTGCTTCAAAAAATGCAAGGCTTCTGTTAATAATTGTTGTTGTATCATATTAGGGTGAAGAGGGGAAGCAGGGTGTTCCTGGACGTGAAGGTCAACCTGGGAAAGACGTGAGTGAAGCTTCTGTCCATCTCTGTATGCAGATGTTACTAAATAGATAAAATGCTGTTGGTTTTAATTGGTGTGCTTGTGTTGTTCAGGGGAACTCCGGACCACCAGGGCCAGAGGGCATGAGAGGACCCCGAGGAGAATCTGTGAGGAAGCATTTCATCTTTTCAATCGCTAAATAAAACACCACCGGTTATTATACTGTTTGGGTCACTTTTTGTGTGTTTTAGGGCCAGCCAGGAGAACAAGGACCAACAGGCAAGCCTGGGTCTCAGGGAAATCCTGTGAGTTTTATTTCATCACGTGAAAACGGGTGGCCATATTGTAAATCGAGTTGAAATCATTCACAAAAATCGTCTTTCGCGTCATATAATTCATTAGTGGAAATGACCATGCTGCTTTACTATGTTTTAGGGTCAACCAGGACACAAAGGGGAAGCAGGGAGCCCAGGATTACCAGGCTTCCCAGGTCCAAAAGGGCCATCGGTGAGTTGAGACGTTGGATCGGTTCTGATAGATTTTTTTTTTTGTTCTTGTATATCAGTATCATTAGCAAATTGCATAGCTGTAAAAACAAGTAATTCTGTAGAAGCTAACAGCAGTCTCTAGTAGGTGAAAATGAAGTGTTTTCACTGTCTGCCTGCCTAAGCATGAGCACTGTAAATATATTTAGACTATGTGTCTTTCTTCTAGGGTCCGCCTGGACCAATTGGCCCTGAGGGAAAACAAGTAAGGGATGGTTCTTTTTAAATTAATATTTTAGTACCACTTTTTATATTATTTGAACTAAACTTGTGTTTATCACAGGGCATGTTAGGAAAAGCTGGAGACCGAGGACAGAAGGGAGAAAAGGTTTGCATGCATAGGTCCACCTAATCATCTATCAGTCCATAATTTAACCATTCATACCCCCACCCACTAATACATCCATCCCTCCATCAGTCCTTCAACCCACCCAAGAATCCATTCATCCATCCAGTTGTCCATCCATTTGCACATTCACCCACAGATTTATCTATCTAATCAGCCTTCCATATATCAACTCAGATCATTCACTTACAAGTTCATCCATCTGTTAGTCTATCCGTCCATCCATCCACAGACTCAAAAATTAATTCATCAGCATGTCTAGATCTGAGCAGTTGGTTGGTTGATTAGTTGGTTGGTTGTCGTACGAACAAATGAACAAACAAACCAAATTTCAACACTGTTTGGTAGCAGCTTCAGGACATGAAGCACCACATTTATCAAGTGTTGTCAATTAAATGCTAACATATCATCCCAAGCCTCCATTGCTAATACCTAAATGCCATTTTTGAGGTAATAGCAGAGATTTGAGCCATTGGTTGGTTGGTTGAACAAACTAACGAACGACTAACAAACAAACCAAATTTGAACACTCTTTGGTTGCAGCTTCATGACATAACCCACCACATTTATCAAGTGTTGTCCTTTAACTCCTAACATATCATCCCAAGCTTCCATTGCTAATACCTAATTGCCATTTCCAAGGTAATAGCAGAGATTTGAGCTGTTGGTTAATTGAACGAACGTACTAACAAACAAATGATTGAACAAAACAAATTTCAACACTGTTCATCCAGTCATCCATTCACAAATACAACCATCCATTGATACATGATCCATCCTTTAAATTAGGGGTCACCAATCTCGGTCCAGGAGGGCCGGTGTCTCTGCAGGATTTAACTCCAATCTGCCTCAGCACACCTGCCTGGGTGTTTCAACTATACCTAGTAAGACCGTGATTAGCATGTTCAGGTGTGTTTGATTAGGGTTGGAGCTAAAATCTCCAGGATACTCAAGGAACAAGTTTGGTGACCACTGCTTTAAATTATCTATCCACCTACCCATCAGTTGTCCTTCCAATCACAAATCCATCCATCAACATATACCTCTAGAAGCACACCAGAACTTGTATAACTTTGCTTGTTCCTGCAGGGCGATAATGGAATAAAAGGAGACAAGGGACCTGTCGGAGATCCAGGTATTCCGGGTAATCCTGGGTCTCCTGGCAGGAAGGGTCACACAGGAATGATGGGCATGTCGGGACCCCCAGGGGAAGTGGGTCCCGCTGGGCCTCCTGGTACTCCAGGAATACCCGGTCTTCCAGGTCTCAGAGTAAGTCTAGAATTTTTAGAATTTTTAATAGAATTGGTGTTGTCGGTGATATATTAAAGATTATTTTGATGATTTTAAGGGCGAGACACCATCACTGGAACAAATGAGGCGGCTCATTCAGGATGAACTTTCTAAGCAGTTGGATGGTGAGATTTGTTTGGTTTAGATATTTAGATATTTTAGTTTAACTTTCTAAACTTTCCATTGATTTTCATAGCTAAGTTGGCTTACCTGATGGCTCAAATGCAACCGGCTCATATCAAGAGCACTGCTGGCCGCCCTGGTCCACCTGGCCCACCAGGTAAAGATGGGTCTCCTGGCCGACAAGGTCCTACTGGAGAGCCTGGAATGCCTGGACAAAATGGAGTAGAAGGACTAAGAGGTCCTGCTGGTCCTAAAGGTACCAGAGAAGATCATTTAAACTGAAACTTGGGTTGATTCATGCAGCAAAAATTCCTCTAAAAATAATCTGTTTTAAAGGTGAACGGGGTTCAAAGGGTGAAAAGGGAGAGGATGGTGTTGGACAGAGAGGAGAGCCTGGTCCGATTGGGCCCATGGGTAAATCACCTGTTCAATGCCCAGATTTACTGGCACAAACTATGTATTTAAATGAATTGTAAATATTTACTGATACATCAAATATGTGAAATCTTAAAATTATTGGTGTGTTAAGATCATATTTTGTACCGCAGGTCCTGCAGGTATGCCTGGAGATGGAAAAGACGGTCTTCCTGGAGCTGCAGGTGCTCAGGGAGAGCCTGGCAATCCTGGTCCTCACGGTCAGCCTGGACCTCCCGGACCAACAGGGCAGTGTGACCCCTCACAATGTGCCTACTATGCCAGTCTGGCATCAAGACCTCACACCAAAAACGTCAAGGGGACTTAAAAACAACCTCACAATCCTGAAAACCTATTTATAAACTTGGACAATCAGTAAGCCAAGAAGATCATCTCTAACATCAGGAGATCTCCAGAATCTGAGAGGTGTGTGAATATATGTGTATGTATGTGTGTATGTGTAATAGGCTTTTCACTATGGTAAAAAAAAAACAACCACTTTTAATTCTGGGTTAATTAATGTTGCACACTTGTAGCTGTACTTTCAACCCAGGGTTGTGAAGTCAACCTCAAAAGCAGGATAAACCCTGAACAGTGGTGCTAAGTGTTTACGGTGTTGAGATATTGTTTTACTAAGGTGGTATTTATAACATACACCATTTTACACTACTACAGACAATCACATACATCAAACTTTATATATCTGACAATGGGCTAATCCATTGATTTGCAACCAAAGTTGTGTATCCACTATTGACACGGCATAAAGCACTACATTTGTCAAGTGTTGTCAATTAAATGCTAACATATCATCCCAGGCCTCTATTGCTAATACCTAAATGCCATTTCTGAGGTAATGGCAGAGATTTAAGCCATTGGTTGGTTGGTTTTGGAACGAATGAACAACTAACAAACAAACTAAATTTCAACAGTTGGCTAGCAGCTTCATGACAAGACAGACCACATTTGTCAATTAAATGCTAACATATCATCCCAAGCATCCATTGCTAATACCCAAATTTCATTTTTAAGGTAATAGCAGATTTGGTTGGTTGGTTAAACGTACGAACGATGGAACGAACAAACCAAATTTCAACACTGGCTGGTAGCAGCTTTATGACATGACGCACCATATTTGTCAAGTGTTGTCAATTAAATGCTAACATATCATCCCAAGCTTCCATTGCTAATAATATTAGCAGAGATCTGAGCCGTTGGTTGGTTGGTCGGTCAGTTGAACAACCGAATGAACAAACGACTAACAAACCATATTTTAACACTGCTTGGTAGCAGCTTCATGAAATAAAGCACCAGATTTGTCAAGTGTTGTCAATTAAATGCTAAAATATCATCCCAAGCCACCATTGCTAATACCTAAATGCCATTTCTGAGGTTATAGCAGAGATTTGGTTGGTTGGTCGGTTGGTCTGTCAAACGAACAAACAAATGAACGACTAACAAACCAAATTTCAACAGTATTTGGTAGCAGCTTTATGACATGACGCACCACATTTATCAAGTGCTGTCAATTAAATGCTAACATATCATCCTAAGCTTCCATTGCTAATACCTAAATGCCATTTTTGAGGTAATAGCAAAGATGTAAACCATTCCCTGCTGAAAAATCCAGCTTAAACCAGCCTAGGTTGGTTGGCTGGTTTTAGCTGGTCGACCAGGCTGGTTTTAGAGGGGTTTTGGCCATTTCCAGGCTGGTTTCCAGCCATTTCCAGCCTGTTCTTAGCTGGTCAGGCTGGAAAATGACCAGCTAAATCCAGCTAACACCAGCTTGACCAGCCTGGTTTAAGCTGGACAAAGCTGGTTTTGGCTGGGATCCCAGCCTGACCAGCTAATACCAGGCTGGAAATGGCTGGAAATCAGCCTGGAAATGGCCAAAACCCCTCTAAAACCAGCCTGGTCGACCAGCTAAAACCAGCCAACCAGCCTAGGCTGGTTTAAGCTGGTTTTTTCAGTAGGGTTGGTTGATTGGTTGGTTGAACATACAAACAAATTAACCAACAAACCAAATTTCAACACTGTTTGCTAGCAGCTTCTATACTAATAGTGAAGCTGTAACTTAAACTGGTCCTAAAATAGCAACACATGTTCTTTAGGGAACAGAATAATTAGTAACTCTTCTTGTTTTTACAAAAGTGATTAAAGGTTTTGGTGACTGAGCAAGCATCATTTTGATAACGTCACTGTACTTGCCCAATTAATGCATTAACCCCTGTAAACATGCAGCATGTACTAGTAGCATATGCAAAGTTACTACCCCGGATTGATGGCTAAATCTTCATATAGTGTGAAACATGTTAACCCAGGGTTAAAAATAGCCTATGTTTAACCATTTTTAAGTGTGGAAAGCTCATAAATGTCCTGCCGGTCAGAGTTGGTTATGATTTTTTTTTTGTTTTTTAAAAAAAGGGGTGGGTGGTTATTAAGTTTAAAGTCTTTTAAATGACTCAAATGAAGACTTTCAAGGGTTTTAATGTAGCAGGATGAGAATTTGTGATTCCTGTAATGAAAGAAAAGACCCTCATATTGTTGTAATGACGTCTCTTGCCGTTGCGCAGCTCACACTCGAGTTCTGCTGACGGCGTTTACTGCGCTCATTAATCAGTAATCAGCAGGTTGATGGGTTGTTAGTGATGTCTGCATCAGGTCAGGATGTGTTTATTAAGGCTGGGGTATTCTCTACTTGAGTTTCATTGATGAAGCGCTCGATCCTAAGGGGAACGTTCCACTCCATCAATAGAACATGCCAATGAGGATCAATGGAGGTCCTGCAGGTGATGGAGAAATGCATCTCTGCTCTTTTTAGGATCTATCCCTTCTGTAGCTTTGCATCAGCCCATTCTTTTTCGTTTCAAATCATTAAACTTGAGTTTGCCAGAACTGAAAGGCAGCTGCTCAGTTCGGTGGCCTGGTTTGTCATAAACGATAAGTCTGCAGAACTTTACACCACTGACGCCGCTTCTAATGCCATTTGGAATAGCTTTTGTGCAGCACTTTTCTTTAAAATGGCATTGCCGTTGAAGGTTTGGGAACACCGAGTCCTAGCATGAGCGTGCTTAGCATTATTTGTGCTATTAGAGCCTTCAGATAGATCGATTCTGCAAACTGCTCCCTTGTGAGCTAATGAGAACTCTAAAAGGAGAGAGACTCTCTTCAGCTCATGAACACAAGTGTAACTCATCTTTAACTGATGAGCATCAATGAGGTCAAGAAGAAATCCATGCCATAAAGGCTATCGAGCGTTTAGGAGTTTTTAAACGAGATGTAGACGTCTGAAGTTCGGTCCAGCGTTAATGTTACAAACACATGTGGATTACAATGGCTGGGCGCTCACATTTCTTCCGAAAGGCTGTAGTTTTTTCCTTGAATGTTGGTCCTCTTCTCTGCTGAGTGTCCTGTTTGACTCCGCTCCGAGTATTTCTCTGCTATGACGTGCGTTGAATCTGTTCCGTGAGGGTGTTCGGCTGGCTAATAGGCTGCACCGGCCTGAATTCTCTTTTGGACATGTCATGCGTTGCCTCCTCGAGTGTATCTTCACTCCTTCCTCATATAGCACCTTCAGACAGGCGGGATATAGTGTTTTAAATTTCACTTCTTTGTCCTTCAAAGCCTTACGCCCCATTCACAGGGGCTTCACAACAGACAACGCTTGACTGAAGGCGTGTCTGAAGTTGGGGCTAAAGCGATCGTCATAGAAGCGTCAGCCAAGGAAATTCAGTCAGCAATAGGCCACTGTCTAGCTGGTGTATTTGCATACATCGATCTGATTGGCTGACGCTTCTGTCGGCGCTTGAAAGTTGAGCTAGTCCCAACTTCTGCATCGAGCAACGTCTCTGAAGCGGCGCTGACGGATCCACAATGCAGTTCGGCAACACCAACCGTTGATGCTGACGCCCCGTGTGAATGGGGCATTACGTACCTCTCTGTATTCCCTTCTCATCTGCAGTACTTCTGGGGCGTAATCGTTGTCAAAGCTGATTTGTTTTCCTTGCCACAATTGACCGGGGTTGTGCGTCAGCGATTGTGTTTCCCCGAGCGCTCTGTGGGCACGTTCAATTTGTAGTGGCGTGTCCGGTAGATTCAAATTTTCTCTCATAAAAAGTTCAAGAAATTCAGCCGTCGTCTTGAAATCCTTTTCCGCCCCTTCGGGTATTCCATATATATTGCGTTTAGGATTTTACTCTCAGGCCATCCAAGATTATAGGAACTTTTTTTACTTCAAGAGAACCGTTTCTTGCACAGACCGATTGTTTCCTTTAAAATGCTGAGCTCATTTATGTAAATGAATGCTGCTTTTATAATTATCTACGCGCTATCATGTTCTCCTCAACTTTATTCAGATATATTTTGACGTATGCTCGTGTTAAGATTGGCTTCTCCAAGCCGCTAATGACTGTATAATTAAATTATTCTAATGAACTACAGGTGCAGGTGATGTAAAAATAGTATAATTTATGCATGAGGTAATGTTCCTGTTTATACTGATTCTGTTGGTGCTATGATTAATCTTAATTGGGTTTAGGTATGTGTGTGGAGGAGAGAGTGTGGGAATGAAGAATGGATTGGCTTATGAAGTTTATATACCGCATACAGTGTTACTCAGCGATGAACTTGCGAGTTTGTAGGTTTTATTCTTGCAAATGAACGTAACAAGAATGAGAACATGTTTAGCATACAAATCAATGGCCATATCTATAACTATGTTCGATTTGTAAGGCCTAAGGTTTTATAAATAGCTTTACATCCTGTTTTTTTCCCTGTGAATTATCAATTTGTTTACATTATTACACTTACAATAGACTCCTGACATTTGGTGCTAAAATCTAGGAAATCCTGTTTCTGCCACAGAATAAAAATGATATTGCTACTTAAAGTTCTAGCACTATCTTCTCTACTCCTCCATCTCTATTGACTGGGTTTTGTTTTTGTACCTTTTGCTGGGTTTGCTCATTTATAGCTTAAAAATAAAAAGTTGCCTTTACTATTGTTTCCTCTGGACTTTTATAAACACTCTTATCGCCATCTGTGCAAAGCTCTGATGTCATGACCATCGAAAACTAGAGCGCTTTAACCAAAATAGTCTTTAAATTAGTTGCAATAATTGTTTTGTGCTAACTGACATCATCCTAAATGCTGTACATGGAGCTTAAGGTTTGATGAATTACAATTGTGTGTTAATAAAAGCATTTTTTGCCCTCCAAGTCAGCTTGGGATTATTCCTTTTTGTCAGTGTTTATCTTTAAATGACTGTACACTTGTGTTTATGCACGTATTATCTACAGCAGGGGTGTCCAAACTCGGTCCTGGAGAGCCAATGTCCTGCATATTCTAGTTCCAACTCTAGTTAAACACACCTAAACCAACTGATCAAGGGCTGCATCCGAAACCGCATACTTCCATACTATATAGTACACTAAAATCAGTATGCGAGCCGAGTAGTATGTCCGAATTCATAGAATTCGAAAATCAGTATGCGAGAAGTACCCAGATGACTTACTACTTCCGGCGAGATTCTGAAGTGCACATCCCATGCACGCTGCGCTATCCTAGGATGCCCCACTGGAGAATTCATGAATGGGAGTGAAGCGATGCAACTGGCACAGGTAGGTCATGTGACCATGGCAGAATGCCGGATGTAGTACATACGAATTTCATTCATACTGTATAGAACATACTTTTCTAACAGCAGAGTAGTACGTTTAAATTCAAATGTAGTATCTACTGAGTAGCAGGCGGTTTTGGACGTAGCCAAAGTCTTTCTAGATATACTAAAATCTTTCAGGTAAGTGTGTTGAAGGAAGTTGAAGCTAAACTTTGCAAGACCAGTTTGGACACCCCTGATCTACAGCATGGGTGCGCAATCTCAATCCTGGAGGGCCAGTGTCCTGCATAGTTTAGCTCCAACCTCCTTCAATTCACCTGTCTGGATGTTTCTTGGATACCTAGAAGTAGCTTGATTAGCTGGTTCAGGTGTGTCTAATTGGGGTTGGAACTAAACTTTGCAAGACACCGGCTCTTCAGGACCGAGTTTGGCCACCCCTGATCCACAAGATCTCATGCATGGGCATGTTGACAGAGAGCTCTTATTAATGCTATTCATGACAAATAAGGATTGCTTTCCATGACAAAATGTACTATATAAATGGAAAATTAGAACAGATTGTCTTTTGCAGGTTTTGGGGGTTTTACAGGTATACGATTCCTATTGTGTACATAAGTCCACCAAAATGGCTAATACACAATAATGCATGCCAGGCCAGTAGATGGCGATGTAAAGAAATACCGTGTCCCTGCAGTTCTGAAATACAACATTGTGTATATTTTGATGGTGTTGTATTTGTCTAAAATGTCCCCCAATAAACTCTCTTAGTGTTGTACACTGTGTGTTGAGAGATTTGCATACTACAGACTTCTGGCTTCTTTAATAATTGCAAAGGTGAGTACAGCTAAAAGTTTAGTAAGTTGTTTATTTAAGTGGTACCCATGCCACATCAGGAGAAGCATTCAGTCCTCATGTTCAGCCTTGTGAAGATCTACCTGGGAAAAGACCTGTAAGTCTACCAGCGGTCAAGGCACAAAGGTACCTCACTTAAACTCTTTATCCATTTATTTAACCTGCAACTTGGAATATTTAACTGACTGTCCTTTATGCATTTTTGTTTTCAAGTTATTCCTGCAAGGCAGGGGTGACCAATCCTGTTCCCGGAGATCTACCTTCCAGCAGAGTTCAGCTCCAACCCATGTCAAGCACACCTGCCTGTAATTATTATCAGGTGGTGTTCGGGTCCTAATTAATTGCTTGAGTTGTGTGTTTGATCTGAACTCTGCAGGAGGGTAGATCTCCAGAAACAGGGTTGAGCACCCCTGCTGAAAGGCATTGTGGCTAGGCAGCAGGCCTGAATGTACTGCTGTTCTCGTTCCCTAAATATGAAGGCAAAGATTCTTGTCTTCTGTGACTTCATCTGTCCATTGGACAAAACATTGTGATACAGATCACCACCTCAGGTACTCACTAATCAGTCACACCTACTTCACCTCATTTATTATTTTTGATTCATTTCTTGTGCACCACTTCTACAAATTTTAGACAAAATCTACACTTAGTCTTTACCCTGTTGTATTTTCCAAACTTGGAGGGCCGGTGTCCTGCAAAGTTAATTCCAACCCCAATCAGACACACCTGGGCTAGCTAATCAAGCTCATACAAGGCTTTCTAGAAACATCTTTGCAGGTGTGTTGAGGCAAGTTGGAGCTAAATTCTGCAGGACACCAGTGCTCCAGGATGGAGTTTGGACACCCCGGTTCTAACTGATCCACACACCCTCTATGCATTTTTTCCCACTGGATGTAAATAGTATCTTGTCCAGGCAGTATATTTACTCTCTCCTTCAGTAAAACGTGCTACTCCCTCTAATCCAGGAGTTCTCAACCTTGACCTTCGAGGTCCACTTTTCCAGTTACTCTAGTTCCATGTATAATCTAATTCAACAGGCTAATTAAGGTTACTAGGAAGTTACATCCCTTGGAGTTTGATCACTGTTTGAGCTAAACTTTGCTGGAAAAATGGACCTCAAGGGCAAGAGCGGACAACTGCTTAACCAAACATGGTAAAGCAAAGAAAAAAATGGCAGAAATGAAAAGATCCAGCTGACCTTGACAGACCACATGGCCAAGAGACCTATGCGATTCAGGTTTGCACTGTACACCATCAGGAAGATCAAAGTCTTTTAAACCAAGCTTGCTGTACAAGTTCTCTTCCAAATGTAATTTTTAGGTTGCAGACCCCTTCTTGAAGGCCTTCCAATATGGGCCTTTAAACTTCAACTAAATGCAGCAGAACCGCCGGTCTTACCAGAGGCCATCACACCTCTCTTCATCTCTGCTCAAGATGTCGACCTTACTTGATCAGTCTACATCCCAATGAGAAATCAGAAGTTGGTAAGTACTGAACCATGACAGAGAGACACGTAATCCCTTTTCAGAACTTTTTCAACTCTAGAACATTGTTGTCAGTGGTGTCCAAACTTGTTCCTGGAGGTACACTGATCTGCAGAGTTTAGTTCCAACACAAACGGAGCACACCTGGACCAAATAATCAAGCTCTTACTAGACAATTCTAGGCAAGCGTATTAAAGCTAAAATCTGGAGGACATTGCTTTTTCAGGAACACTGCTGGACACCCATGGATTAGTTGTTCATTGTTCCAAGTAGTCTGAACCATTTCAACAACTTTGTATTGCCAGTATTCTTTTTAAGATAGTCATTTGTTTGTTAAATGAATAAACCGCAGCACGCACTTTGCATGGTGGTGAAAAGCTTTTATTCCAGGCTGCCCTGCTGGATCACACTGTCGTTCTGTTGGCATAGCTTAATGTCTGGCACCATGTCGAACATTGGTCTTTGCAAATCACGTTTTATGACAAATTAGTAAACATGCAGAACTGTAATTGTACAGCATGTACTATGTTTTAAATTAGTTCCCCGTTGATTTAACCGGATTGTGGCCCAAGAACTGAAACGTCAATTTCCAATTAATTTATTTTTGCATTTCACTGTAAACCATCTGACAGGACAAACACATGTTCTTCCAGTTTATGTACAAGGTACAACAATAAACCATGTAAATTGGATCCACCATCAGAAGCTGCATCCGTACGTCTTTAGACAACTGTCACATTTGTTTTACTCGCCGTTTGAAGTCTCAAGTTTTTTCGGAAAAGGACTGACTCTGAGCTCCCGATGATGACTGTGATGAAGGTTTCTAGGACATTTCTATTGTTCTGTTCATGGACCCTTGATGTTGACAGACTTTTTGCCACCAAGCAGATAAAGAGGTTGAGGCCTGTAGCAGTTTGAAGGATCGCAAAGACCAGGTGCACCAGTGGCTCCTCTTGCTCCTGGTGTTCCTGGGGTCCCATTCAAACCGGGCTCTCCTTTGGCACCATCCTGACCATCTTTACCAATGCCAGGCTTGCCAGCTGGTCCTGTTTTGAAGTAATCACAATTGATAAAATTAGAAAACATTTATACATAAATTCAACATATGATGGACACTCACCAGCCACTTTATTTGGTACACATGCAGGGTTTCAGTGGGGTCTTACAAAAAGTCTTACATTGGTTTCCCTTATATTAAGGCTTTAAAAAGGCCATCGTTTGCTCACTGTGCTTGAGAATGAACACATTATATCTGATTATACCGTGACTTTCACTTTTGAATTCTCTTAGGCAACTGCAGGAGTATGCACTTGGCATGCTGACTGCAGGAATCTCAACAATCGGTTGGCATAACCAAAGAATTTCTGTACAAACTGTCAGAAATTGTCTCAAGAAAGCTCATATGCTCGTTGTGGTCATCTGAGTCTTGACTTGACTGCAGTTTGCTTTTTTAACTGACTTAAGTTGGCAAGTGCTCACATTCAATGGCATCTGGGACTTGGATGAGGTGTTTTAGGGTGCTTTCACAGTTGGTTCAATTGCCTGGACGGTACTCAAGTTCAGTTGTCCCCTCTTGCCACCTTCTCGGTTGGTTTGTGTTCACACTGTCTTTTTTGCCTTTTGAACCCTGCTACGCTTGCGTCATTAAGCCGCTGCTTTGTGTACAGCTGTTGCCAAGTGACAGACAGGAAAGCAAAGCGCCAAAGTGAAAAGACGTCTGCACATCACCGTTGTTTCTCTTTACTGAGCCTTTTGGTTTTGGACACACGAAAAGCGACTCGCGTCCGTCTGCTGCAAAAATATTATAAACAATCAGAACATAACCCAACGTCTGCAGAAGCTGTTTTTGGAGAAGACAAGCAGACATTATCAATGTGCTTGCCCTGGCTCAGTCCCGATGTGGCGAGATGGATGCTCTTTAATTTTTATTTTTTCCTCAAGTGCCACTAGGGGGCGCTGCTCCGGCCGATCCTTCCTATTGCTTCCAGACAATACTTCCGGGGGTCGGGAGGAAGCGGAAGGTCAGGTAAACAATCGGAGTTAATAAAAAGAGGCAGAAAAGGACAGAGAGGGGCTTCTTTTTTTTTTTTTGGTGTCGGTCCTTGTATTTGGTGGTAAAGAATTGGAGAAGGAGGAGAAGAACGGTGTAAGGTGGAGAGCTGTTGGTTTCAATGAGTGTGTGAAGAAAAGAAACTGAGGGGTGGAAGCGATTTGTGGACGTGGTGACCAGGCGGCTTCTCTAGTATTGTGTGCGAGGGGTCTGAAATTCTCATAGAAAAGGTGGACCTGTGCAGAACGGCGTCGGTGTCCCTGGGTCCTTAACTATTGTCCATTTGCACCCATTCATACACCCACACATATGGAAGCATACGAGTAGCATAATTCAATTCAAAATGTAATATGCAAAATGGCAATGCAATATGTTAAATGGCAATGTATTTCTGTATTTGAACTTGCATTTTCCAAGACATATGAGCAATGTTTGGTGCAGAAGGAAAATGTAAATTAAATAGCATTGTTTGCATTTCTCATTTCAAACACTGTTTTAATATGTAAATTGTATCCACATTTTAAAGCTACATAAGTAGCAAAATTAAATTGAAAATGCTATACACAAACTGAATTTGATGTGAATAAAGTACAAGCAGAAACTGTATCAAAATGATCATTTAAATGTTATTTGTCCTAAATGCATTTACACTCGCGTCTAGGAAACGCAGGATTACATTTTCAGCATAACAGCATGGGATGTGTGTAGCAAAATTAATTTTAAAATGTAATACGCAAAACAATAATGCAATATGTAAATGGCAGTGTATTTCAGTATTTCAGTTAGCATTTTCCAAGACATATGTGCAATGTTTGCTGCAGAATGAAAATGAAAATGAATAAAACATAATGCATTTTCATTTAACACATCGCGACGAATGAAAGCCGATTTGAAATTGAAAATGCATTCTGGCCTGGCCACGCCCACAGACGGCCGCCGTTGCTGCAAGGCAGGTTTTACGTTATGTCGTCACAGCTGCAGCGAGGACTATTTGGGACATTTGGCAGCATAAACATGGCAAAGTCTGTTCCTCAGCGGCTTCGTGAAGCTGCACGAGCCCTCGAGCGTGAACTGGGAAATACTTTAGAAAACCAATCACCTCCTAGCTCAGTAAACGTGGCTTAAGGTTTGATATTCCCGCACGCAGTTTTAGGGATCAACTGCAAATTACATCGTGTATATGAACCTGCAGATGTCTTTCACTGGTAATTGTTAGTTATCTGAACCATATCCAGACAGATCATGAGCTAGCATGAGTTAAAGCATCTACATCCTATGCAGTGGTACTTAAATATGAGAGATGAGATTTGGTTTTTCATACCTTGAGGTCCAGGTTCACCAGGAAGTCCTGCAATTCCAATTCCATTATCTCCCTTGTCACCTTTTTGTCCTGAATCACCTACAGAAATTCATGAACATAGCAACAAATCAAGTCCCACCTTATCATAAATACTAAAGATACAACTTTACAAAAATTGTGTAAACATAGTCTAGTTCAGGGGTCACCAATTTTGGTCCTGGAGGGCCGGTGTCCCTGCAGGGTTTAGCTCCAAATTGCCTCAACACACCTGCCTGGATGATTCAAGTATACCTAGTAAAACTTTGATTAGCTTGTTCAGGTGTGTTTGATTAGGGTTGGAGCTAAAATCTAGAGGACACCGGCCCTCCAGGAACAAGTTTGGTGACCACTGGTCAAGTTGATTGAAATAAATAGTTTTTTTTGGCAATAGCTGCATATAAACCACATGCTGAATACAGGTGTACTGAAATTTATGAATTCTAATAATGGTTTTCAGGACATTTCATGCAGACATTTGTACCGTCAAACACCCTGCTAGGCTTGATCGAGCATTTTCCACTAGAGCTGCATTCATAACCTTCAAAAAATAACATCTCATCGTCGGAGATTCTGCAGGAATAATTGTGGTAGATTGAGAAGCATTCAGGGGCTTTTCTAATCATCCCGTTATTGCTTCTCAATCTCTGTCTCATTAGCAAGCCTAGCGATCCTCCTCGGCTCAGTGGCAATTAGCGCAGACTGCGCTCACTGTACAGCAACCTCCGCTTCAGAGGACAAAAGAACTGCAATGCTCAACATTCTGAAAGCCGCTACCCTTGAATGACCAGAACAACAGCAGCTGATGGAAATCTGTGCTAATGCACCTTTTGAAGTATCACATGAGAAACGAGAACTTGAAGAAACCGTTGATTAAAAATCCCTTCATTTGCTAAATATTTTGACGCTCACTTGAGGTGGATTTGAACTTGAGTGAAGCGTTAATGTGAAAGAATGAGCATTTCTCAAATAAACTCTGACATAGCAAACATTAAATACAGTAGTCAGCTGTCTCAATGTCTATGCTTGACTTGTTTATAGCTGGTTGCTAGGCTACCAATACTACAGTCAGCCTCTCTAACAACTTAAACTTATTTGCATTTGGGATTTTTTCTTTTTTTTGCAAACTTTGGAAAGATTTGCTTCGAATTAAAAACCCAGCTATTCTGTGCTTACAATTTAAGACAGGTAAATTCGCTCGAGGCCAAATACAATTATGAAATAGTATAAAAATAACTAATTCTGGAGTATTTAGTAGTGCACAGTACAGGATCTTAAGGAAGTTTAACAAATGATAATAGTATAATTTCAAGAGTTCACACTCAGATCTTGCTTGATGCTATTAGCAGGTTTGGCATGCTGTCCCAGGAGAGAACCCTGAGCTCGGAAATAATTGAGCTCCCACCTGGTCAATAGGCATATAAGGGGGTCCAAGATCAGGTAGATCTCGAGAGCTCTTCCTTGTAAATGAAGGAAAAGGAGGAGATGGGGTGGAAGGGGGGATTCTTCCAAAACTAAGGTAAGGTAGTAGAGCGAAATCAGTCTATTTATTGTAAGCTTAAATCAATCTGATTGGATTATTGCTGATTACGGAAGAGAGGCCAGCTGCAATCAATCACATCACGTGCTTCTCTCGAAATTGGCAAATGGAAACCAATTTCTGATGCCTGATTTTCAAGTGTCGAGCAAAAAAAATCCATATTTACAACTGCTATTAACATGCTTTCATTACCAATGGATGTAGTTGAGAATAAACAAACTTAAACCATTTAGATCCCATTTACATTTGTATTTAACATCGTCCACTTGCTACATATAAACTCGACTTTACTAGTCAAAACAAGTCTATTGCTGTACTACTAGTGTCTAGAATCAGACTTCATCCACGTATTTGCTTGATGTAGCTTACCTCTATTTCATGCTTGCTTGATCTCGAGAAGTCACGGGCAATAAAAATAAAAAGAATTCTGCATTCTCAAGACTTTCTCAAGTTGAAATTAAAGTACTGAATCAATCGACATTACCTTTGGCGCCTGGCTTTCCAGGAAGGCCGTAGTATCCTTGAGGTCCCTTGGGGCCCATGACTCCTCTTGGTCCGGCTTCTCCAGCAGGACCTGCAGGTCCCGGGGGTCCAGGTGGCCCCATCAGTCCTGGAGTCCCTGGGGCTCCAAGGGGAAGAGGTTTCTTGGCTAATTCCTTCTTGTAGGCATCTAAATGTTCTGTTTGGTACGATACAATATAGATTAGTTCTTCTGTTACAGCTAAAGAAAAATACAGCTGATGTTTTGTGAATTCTGATTGAAACCGCTTGTCAAACAAATAATATATATATATATATATATATATATATATATATATATATATATATATATATATATATATATATATATATATATATATATATATATATATATATA